TAGCACTGTACTGACTGCTCTTTCACCCAGTACCTGAATGACCCTATGAAGTAAGCAAAACAAGTACCTTTAATCCTATTCTAATTGTTAGGCACCTAAGGACCAGAGAAGTTATATAACCAGCAATTGGAAAGACTGAAATTCAGAATCTAGCCTTCTTTCTATATAATTATGTATTTTATTAGTCCTTACACGCTGAATATTTAATTTTTTAATTTTACATATTTTAAACAAACAATTGTTTAACAAATTGTTAGCCTATATCTAAATTCAATGAGTAAATGGAAAAGGAGAATTCCTCTGACAAGAAATTTAGAAATACTTTTAAAATCTAGGTATCCTTCTTTAACACTCTTTTGACCTCCCTAGACATTTAATAAGTATACTTTCTAGCTATATTTTGGAAGGATGGAAATTTTTTTTAAAGATTTTATTTATTTTTGCATAGAAGAACTGGGGTGTAGGCCAGAGGTGTCGGGGGTGAGTATATTCACTAGAGACAGAGTGGGGAAAAAGAGCAGGTGGACTTACTGAAATACACGAAGGGGAGTAGCAGGTGAGAGAAAAGAGGTCTGCTGTGCCATAAGTGGGCCAGTTCCCTGGCTGGGGATAGAACTCAGGCCTTCTTAGTGGGCTGTGGTGGTGATAGCAAAGAGACTTAACCCTTAGGCTACCAGGGAGGCGCCCAAGGATGGAAATTTTAAGGTAAATTTCAAAATTAAAATACAATTTTAATTTAAGATATTTTAAGATATAGTATTCAGTAATAACTGGAATTATTTTTTATATTGAAGGGATATTTTAGATGAGTATTTTCAAAGTTTCAAAATGAAGTAAGCTTGAGAAAAAAGTGAAATTCCCTAATCCACCATCTGACAAACTTTTAAAGATATTAATTACTGTTTCTGCTGCAGTCATCTCAATGGTTCATAATTACAGCTACTACTAAAGACATTGCCTAAGTACCACCAAATCAAAAGAGTAATGATTAGCTATACATGTTAGTTACAGATTATCCACACGTTGTTCTAACCTATCCAATTCCACATTATAATTAACTTTTTCAAATACAATTTTATTAGATAAAATCCTCCTCTAGTATAATTACTCTAATGACCTGGAAAGTTTATACCTAAAATAATACAATTCATTTTCTCTGCTCAATATATTGTTCAACTTTTAACATCTTTAAAAGCAGAAATATTGCAATTAAAACACTAAAATAATTCATTCAATTTGATTGGTAGGCATACCCTACAAATTTTATCCGAAAAATCATTGTTACTATTCATTCATTACCAGACTGAAAAAAAGCTTAGTATCAAAAGATAACTAACTTTAGTCATTGTATAAACATTTTTTAGGAATTTTTTTCTCTCAAAATTGTTAAAACCCCCAAGTATACAAAATACTTAATCTGCTTACCCGGGGAGGTCAGAGATCTTCTCTTACATTTAGCCTGATCAAAATTTGAAAAATCATACTAAAAATGAAAAAAAAAAAAGACATATTTAATTTGTATACTAAGAATCATTAGTTTCAAAATATTTCCACAGAACTTATATATTAATTACAAAAGCATATTACAAAGATTAGAGTGAAGAACTGTTATAGAGGCCACTTTAACCAAGTTATGAGTTAACACTACCAATTACAGACAAAGTAGCATTACAAGTCTCCTAATGAGCAGAAGCAGGCTACACATCATTCATATAGTGTTCCTGTCAAAATACATACCCTGTTTCTAATCATGAGGTATCCTTCGAATCCACACTGAGGGACATTCTAATGATGATTTATACTTTTCAGAAATATCAGTATATAAAATTTGAGAAAAGGCTTGAAAATTTGTTTTGAATTAAGGCAACAAAGGACACAACCAAATGCAATGTTCATTCTTATATTGGATTTGCACTATGAAAAAAAATTTACAAAGAATATTATTGAGATAATTGGCGACATAGGAATATAAATTGTAAGTTACAAACTATTATCGTATTAGTCCTGAATTTACTGTGGTTATATGAGAATGTCCTTATAATTTGGAAAGCACACCGAAGTATTTTACTGGGGGTAAAGTGGCACGATGCCTGCAAGTTACCCTCAAATAGTTCAGGAAAAACTGTGTGCCTGGAAAGGGTGTGAAAACGAGGAGGCGAGAGGGACTGGTAAAGCAAGTGGGGCAAAATGTTAATGGTCAATCCAAACAAAGGGTACGAAAGTTATTTGAATTATTTTTGAAATTTTAAGACTTTTTTTTTTAAACTTTTTTTTTTTAAAGATTTATTTATTTACACAAGCACTGGGTACAGTCAGAAGCGCGGGAGGGTGAGAGAATTCACCAGAGCCAGAGCGGGGAGCAGAGCAGGCAGAAGGACCCAAGTACACTGCTGAGGGGAGCAGCGGGCGGCAGGAGAGGTCTGCGCGCCATGTGGGACCCTCCTCTGGTGGCCGGGGGAGCAGCCGGGGATCGAACCGGCGCTGCAGAGGCTGCGGGCAGCTTCGCAGCCCAGCGATCAACCGCTGCGCCACCGGGGAGGCCCCTGAAATTTTAAGTTTAAAATTATTTCAAAATAATCTTTACAAAAAATCTCTTTTCAACTGCACTCGAGTAAATGTAACTAAATTTCAAAAATACTTTCAATAATGCCATGGCATGGTTTGTGGAACACAGACCTCAATTTTTAACGGTGCTGACAGAAACCTTAGTTTTCCCACAGGTGTGTCACCTCCCCGCCAGCGTTCACCCGTCTCGGGTCGCTTCCTCCCGCCAGCGGGCTCCCCCGACCCGCGCGCGGGGCGCCGGGCTCGCAGCGGCGCTCTCGCCCAGCGGCCAGCAGCGCCTCGGCCCGGCCCCCTGCGGAGCGCCAGCCCAGGCCACTGCAGCGACCGAGGCCTCACCTCGGCCAGGCCGCCGCCCCCTAGTCCGTAGCGGCTTTTGAGACGCTCCACGGCCAGGTCCTGCCCGGGAGGTTTGACGACCCTCGGCTCCATGGCAGGATTCGGCCGGCGCTGTCTCCCCGGGAACGGAAACCGCGTTCAAACCCTCAGCGGGACGCGCAAGAGGAGCTTGCGCGGCGGACGTGCGTCATGACGTCACCCGCCTCGGCACGGCGCGGGCCGGGGGAGCGCGCGTCTGGCGGCGGGGCTCGGCGCGACGGAGGCGCCTCCCTGGGGCTGGATACGAGCTGGTGGGAGGGCGGGGTACGCGGGCGCTCGATGAGCCCGGTGTCTCAGTCTAAGTTGCAAACTCCCTCGTGTTCCAAGTGCTTTTTCCTGCAGGAAGATTGGCGAATTCCCTCACTACTGTGTTACTTGAACAAAAATATTCTCTCCCTGAGTGTCTTAAAAACTTGTTACTCGCCTTTTCCTCAGTCATATCCAGGGCAGCTTACACCTTACTGGTGTGCCCCCTCAAAGAAAGGGATGCTTAGCCGCACCTCAGGGTGCTCACTTCGTAAAAGGTAGGCGTGGCCCCCTGACCTATGCAACTTGCCTTTCAGCGAGAATGCGGAAAAGTGTCCAGGCTGGGTGGTCACCGTGTGACCCAAGCTGTCTCAGGCCGGCACACGCAGGCACACACACACAATCCTTGCCTAGAGTATCCCTCACTTTAGTGTGCGTGTGGACATACCACAATACACCCGTTTTTAATACGCGCAGGCCTTTACTAAGACTACAAAAAGCCCAGATATTTCCCTGTTATTGACCAGTGTTCTATACATGTATAACTGGGCAGTAGTAAAAAGCAGTATTAGCAATATAAACTCCCTGAGAACAAGTACTTCCTTTTAACAGCTTTTCATTGTGCCTAAATCAGTACCTAGTATTTTAGTAGGTGCTCAGTACTTACTTTGGCTAACCTGAATGGTAAAGACTGATTGAAAGGAGTAACTGAATGTTTCTCACAGTATTTCCTCAACGGCATATGTGGACTAACAACTAGATTCTTTGGTTTTCTTTAAAGTTTGCAAATGCCAAATTTTTATAATATCAGTGTTTAAAGTAGTTATCTGAAATTATTTAAACCAATACTTCTGCCATTAAATAAAAAAGTATACAAATAATGAGTTTTTATTCTACCTTTAAGAAACTTTTAATGAGACCTTAAAAAAATACAATTATCATTGTGGGGTTATATACCACATGAACACCTATGTAACAAAGAGAAATGACAAAGTCCTTTCTTGAAATGTTAAAGTCTTAATTATAAATGCCTCGAGTCACTTTTAAGCATCTTTGGAATACAAATTCTGGAAAATTTAAATTTTATTACCTGATAGCACAGAAATCATAATAAATTATCTAAAATATCGCTAAAATGCACTTGTATTTACTGGGAATTTATTCTAAATTCATGACAAAGGCATTGGCTATCCCAGCTGAAAAATTATAACACACTTTACATCAACTTCTATTACACAGATTTCTAAAGAAGCAAATTCTTAATATTAAATGAGCATATATGTAGTTCATAATTCTCTTCAAGGTTCAGGTAGTTCAACTGACATAACTGGCTTTGTGTCCAAAAGAATTAGTGATAGCATTCCATCATTCATTACTCATATAAACCATGTGGCATTTTTCTCACCCCACTTGACTGGGAGTTGAACAGGTATTTATTATAGGACAGTCTAGTTCCAAATCCCTAAACTAGACTAAACAAAATGAGGTGATATCACTGGTAAAAATACAGAACAGAAAACAGTCACTATTAGTGAATGGAATATATAAAGTTTTATACTCTGATTCTTTATTACTTTACATGAGAACATTCCCCTTCTTCTTTAGCAGCTAGTCACCTAACTTTTGACACTAAGTCATTTCCAAATACATTTAGTGTTTATCAAACGTGGAGTCACTTTCTTGGGAGCGCTGCAAATTATGTGGCAGATTGAGTTCACAGGCCCTTAATTGCCCAATTTACTCTGTCTAGTTCTAAAGTGAATAAACAACTTAATGCACAAGTAATGAATTTTTAAAATGTCATGGCTATTAACAATCTCACTTTATTTTTGCTACAAAATTCACCAGAAAAAGGTACTGCTACAATCTAGTATATAAAGCAATCTTTAACCAAAGAACATGGTATAGACCTTCTTAAAATATTCATAATTTATCACAATAACTGCAAGGAAAAAATCAAGTTCTATCAGAACCAAGCTGCAGTTTGAGGTAGTAGAAACAGATGACAGAAAAATTAAAAAAAAAAAAAAAAAAACTCAACTTGTTTAAAATGTAAAAATTAATTTAAAGCCATTGTAAGGGCACAGGAAGCTAGATAAAAGAAGGCAGTCTACTTGAAAAGTAACAAACTATACAGAAGATGTATGGATTATAGAAGAGCACTTTGGTTAAGTCTCTATCCTCTGTGGCTCTAAGCATTCATAAATGAATATGCAAAATGAATACACCAGTAGGTAAAATACCAAATATATTTCAAATCTAAAATTATAATTAACCAAACTGTGGTCCCTTTATTCAAATAATATATGCACATGCATGCAGGAAGTCCAGTATCTTAAAGGAATTAAAATTAAATTGCATATATCAATTCCTTCAATAGTTTGAGAAGGTCTATTGCTTTTAACAAGTTTAGTATTATTCCATTTTAATACAGATATGTCAGGAGTACATAAACACAAGTACACCTGAAATACACCAGTGTTTAAACTTTTATTTCACACCATGCAAGGTTAATTATAACACATTAAAAAGTGACAACAGCTATAAGCTGCAATTTTACATTTATACATTGGAAATGTCCATTTCAAAAGCTGAACATAATTGCCATTTTTTTATAACAGCTAAGCCTCAATTCAACTGTTTTACAGGTAAAATTTACTATGAAAAACAATGATTTTATATCTGTCCACATTCTGTGATAATAATTCTTCGACTAACAGACCCTTTAGGAGAACCAAATGATTCTATCTTTTTCACGGTATCCATGCCATCCTTAACAAACCCAAATACTACATGTTTAAAGTCCAAATGTTCTGCTTTTTTCAGTGTTATAAAGAATTGAGAATTATTGGTATCCCGGCCTCGATTGGCCATAGATAGTAATCCAGGACCAGTATGTCTCACATTAAAATTTTCATCTTCAAATTTATCTCCATAAATGGAGCGTCCTCCTGTTCCATCATGTTTGGTGATATCTCCCCCCTGAAAAAAAAATTTCAATCAATAGGAATTCTAAATCAAACATTAAAATATACACAGAACTTATCACTAGTGTATAAAATCAGTGTTATATACTTTTCTACACTTCAATTGTGATATACAATTTATACTTACTTGGCAAACAAAATCTGGAATTACTCTGTGAAAAATGGAGTTCTTGAAACCAAAGCCCCTTTCTCCAGTGCATAGTGCTCTGAAATTCTCAGCAGTGTGAGGAACAATGTTTGAAAGTAATTCCATGGTTATACGTCCCAGAGGTTCATCATCTGCACAAATATCAAAAAAGACCACAGGATTTGTTTCCTTTGATAATTCTGCTGTCAGCGATACCTGTCCTTTCTGGAGTTTCAATAAATTCTGTTGACATTCTTCAAATTTTTTCTTAAAACAATCAGCCATTTCCTTAGTTTTAAATCTTACTGCAAGTTGTTCCACTTTTGCTTCTCCATCTGTTAAACAAGAAAACAAAGGGAGAACTTAGTATTAAAATAGCTGCTATATTTGTAATGGATTTTTTAAAAGTCAAAGAAATGAAAAGTAGTATTTGAATGTAGAAACTCACCAGCATAATCTGAGGCAATCCAAACTAACGCATTATTGGAAACATTTAAGGGTTTTAATTCCATTGTTTTGGTAATAACATGGTTTGCACATACTTTAAAGACCTGGTCCCTTCTCATTAGGATCCGATAGTAATTCTTCATTGTATGCCAAAGAATCTTTATATCTCCAACACCGCGCTCCTTCCACTGACTGACATCTCGATCCCATCTATAGAGTTTGGCTCTCTCTCTAAATAAAATTTCTTCATCTTCTTCTCCAGATTTTACTTCTACCTGTGATAGCAGGTGAAATTATAAGTTGCTGCTAATAACATATTTAATAATAAGTTTCAAATACCCAAATTCTTTAAGATACTATCTTTGTAATGACATCAATTTGAAGTTTAGTGCCAAGATAAATAGTAATGCCATAGGGCTAGGAAAACATCTGATTCAGATGAGGCACTACAGACCTTATTTGTCATTAAATATTTTTCTCTTATGTAGTATTCTTTCTTTTGAAAATTTAATATCTTCTTTTATAAGAAAAGAAATTTTAAAAAATACTTGTTCTTCAAGAGAAACATTAACAATCAATTGAGGGCCTCCCCAGTGGCTCAGTGGTTGAGCGCTGGGTTGCGAAGCTGCCCGCAGCCTCTGCGGCACCGGTTCGATCCCCAGCTGCTCCCCGGCCACCAGAGGAGGGTCCCACATGGCACGCAGACTTCTCCTGCTGCCGCTGCTCCCCTCAGCAGTGTACTTTGGTCCTTCTGCCTGCTCTGCTCCCCGCTCTAGCTCTGGTGAATTCTCTCACCCTCCCGCGCTTCTGACTGTACCCAGTGTATGTATAAACAAAACAAACAAATAAATAAATAAATAAAACATGCCTCTCTATTAAAAAAAAAAAAAAAAACACACACAACAACCAATTGAGTTTGAAAACTAAACAACATTCTTATCCAAAAAGTAGTTTACTTTATCAGGCAACATTTATTATAAATTAACAAAGACAACAATATATACTTAAAGACTAAATTCTAATAAAGAACTAAGTCTCAATCCGTATATTCTCAATCTGTATATATGCAAAGAAAGCTGGCTCCACAAATAAAGTCTGTATTAAGTTTTAAAAATAAAATGAGAAGTTATTAGTAAAATGCTCATCCTGTAATTTTTACCTCTGGTAGTGACACTATTGGTTCAAAATGGATATCTTCATTATGAACTACTTCTTCATCACTACCATCTTCATCTTCGCCAACTTTACTGGCTGGTTGTGTTCCAAAAACAGTTGCTCCAGTATTTGCCCACTGGAAATTTTTATCTGATGAATAAATAAGAATATTTAAATGGTAGTGCATAAATGTATGTGTGTGTATGTATGTATGTATGTATGTATGTACATGTATATGTATATATAGTTTTTAAATCCTGTTCTTGTCAATGTATCCAGTAAAAACTTTCAAAATTTTATTATTCCGCCAAGTTTAACTCCTGTAGCGAGTACACTGTACATTTAGTACTATTAATGCTTGAATATACAAAGTTAAGATCCTCTGAGCCTTAAGTAAAATGTATGAAACTATTGAAGAATATTGTCATAAAGCAAGTACTTAAAGGTACCTACCTTGAAACTCTGAAAACTTATTAGCTCAGCTCTCAAAGGCAGTTTGTTTCATAAATATTTTATATGAAAAACAATTTTTGAAACTAAAAATGTTCACAAAGAGGTCAAATTTGCTACTTCTGTATTAGAGCAGCCTAAACACCTACTTCTAACTTCTCTACCTCAACTTCTTCCTGAAATATCTAACTAGTGATAGAACTGAAAATATCTTGGCCAGAGCATAACAGGTGACCTTGGGAGTTCACTGACTCCAACTCTTCTCAGGGATTTTTCAACACCAGAACTGTTAGGGATGAAAGGTTCCCCATATCTATGCAGAGGAATAAAGACTATCGTACTCTCCATGACATTTTGGAGACGGCGAAAATTAAAAACTCTTCATCCCTAGGGCTATGAGATGATCCACCCTACTAAGACATTTCCAAATATCTTAGAAGGAACATCTCCCCTAACTTTATTTGCTGATTTGCCTTACGGAAACTCTACATCTGGTGCTAAAAACCTGGAAGGCAACAAAAAGGCTACAGATCATTTACAAACTTAAGTGAGCACACTGAAGAAACAATAAAGCAAAAAGCTAACTGATATGTTAGATTTAATGGGGAGGGGGGGAAAAAACCTTTAAAAAAAAAAGAGGACAAAAATTCTTAAGCAAATATTACAAAGGAATGTTCTGAAAAAAAGAAAAGCACCACCTCTGGTTACATGGAGATTACTGAAAACAGTAATCACAGATCTAGATGATACCCAGGCTTGGGGCTCAGTAACTCACTCAGGAGTTTCAAAGCAGGGAAATTTTTAACATTACTCCAAAGAACCCTAGGGGACATGGCAGAAGTTTTCAAAATTCCCCTAAAGCAATGTCTCTTTAACACCAGAGCACATAAACCACACCAAGAGCTTTGAAAAAATACCAATGCCTGGAGTATCATGGCCAGAGAGTCCAACATCATTATCAAGTAACTTTAACTTTTTAAAGCTCCCAGAAAATTCTAGTATGAAGAACTGAAAATCACTGCTCTAAAGGCACCCAGAATAAGAATTTATACAATAAAAGTATAATCAATGTAAATTTCATAACAGCTCTAGGAAATAGAACAGAGGAAAATTCCAGTGTATATGAGTTTAATGAAAACATTGAAATATCTGAAGGAAGTATCATAAAATAGTAATAATTAGTTTTCATAAGAGTATCAAAAAAACAGGCATACACTATGGAATGACAGATCTGCGTGAATAGAATTTTTAGAAGAAAATGAGTAAGGGGGGAAAAAGGAAAAAAAAAAAAAGAAACCCAAAATAGAGAACTTAAAAATAAATTAAGAAAAAGTAACCACCACAGAAATAATATATTATTAAATACAGAAAAATAAATGAAAGACTCCTGAATTTAAAACAATCAAAATATATTTTCTGAGGTAGGACAAGATGGTGGCATAGTGAAGATACTGAGCTCATCCCCACATACTCACAATTAGATTGCAGAACAAAGCCAGTAATTCCTGAAGGAAAAACAGACAATTCTAGCACACACTAGTAATAACATACAAAGGAAGATGCCAGGGCCTCCCTGGTGGCGCAGAGGTTAAAGTCTCAGTGCTAATGCCAGCCACTGCAGCAAGAGTTCAATCTTTGGCCAGGGAGCTGAACCCACATGGCACAGCAGACCTCTCCTGTCTCGCCAGCTGCTCCCCTCAGCAGTGTATTTCAGTAGATCTGCCTATTCTGCTCCCCACTCTTTCTGTGATGAATCCTTTCACTCCCTCCACCCACCTCTGGCGTATACCCCAGGTCTTGCATGCACAAATAAATAAATCTTAAAAAAAAAAAAAAAAAGGAGGATGCCAGTGAACTATGAAATGTGCAAAGCAGGTACCCACCTATGTGGTGAGCCCCAGGGATGTGGAGGGCCCTGCAAGCAGCAGAGTAAAACTGGCAAAGCCTTTACATGGCAATTCTTGGCAGACCTGGGAGAAAATCTGGAAGCAGATTTGCTGTAGTAGGTCTCCACAAACATGCACACAGGCCTTGGGAAGCTCCATGATGGGTCCTGGAAGCAGCCCCTCTGGCAATAGGTCCTGTGCAGAACTCAGCAAGCCCTAGGAAGGTCCTGGAAGTAGCCTTCACCATGGGAGATGCAGCAGACCTGAGTGGACCCTGGGATGGGACAGGGAAGCAGGACCACTGTAATATTCCTCCATGGAACCCAGAAAGCCCCAGGGAGGGTCCATGAAAGCAACCCAGACTTGGTAGGGCCTGGTAAGCAGTGGAGTAGATCCTGCAAGGGGAGAGGACATGACAGCCTACCTAGGCTAACCACAGGGCCTAAACAGACAGGCTGTGGGTTCTTGGAGCAGAAAGCCAAGAGGGACAGAGTTTGGAGAGCTAATCTCAAGGACAGAAGTGGGATTGATTATTCCTTGGTCAGTAGAGACCAGAGTAGACTTCAACAGATTTAACGCCAAGGAGATTCATGCTACACTGAACAGGAGATGGATAAAGAGAAGAAGGTGAAGGTTGTAATCTGGAGTAGGGGACACCAGTGCAGATTGGTCAGTTCAGCCTAAGGCTCTGGAGAGACGGGAGCAGAGGTTGTGTTTAGGACTACTCCCTTGAAGGAAGGGAAAACCTTGTGGTTCCATCGACGCTCCACCCTAACATGTTGACTGAGCATCTACTAAATAGATTTGAGTACATACAAAAACCAGCAAAGGTCAAAATAAATGAAAAATTAAATATATTAGAAACAATAATAGGGAGACCTTAAGTAACAGAATCATCACACACAAAAATATTACACATAGTAATATAGGACCTTAAGAAAGTATGACATCACAATGTGAGAATGACTCTCAGAATCCAAACACAAAAAGATGGGTGATTCTATCTCCTTATCAGAGTTCTGAATTGCTATAATAAAAAAAACTGACAGAAGAAAACTCAAAAGGAAAATGAAAAAAATACAAAAGGACTCAGAAAATCTAATCAAAGAGACAACAAAATTCAGACATATTAAAAATCAATGAACAGAAAATAAAAATTGAAGCTTTAAATAGAAAATAACAGAAATTCAGGAGGGAAAGAGCTCAATAAATGAGATCAATAACTCTAGAAAGCTATGGAAGAACAGGTTAAACGGAGGATCAAATCAGTGACCTCCGTGATAATAATGCACAAAGGGCCTAAATGGAAAAGGAGAAATGAGATGTAAAAAAATTAATAAAAAAGAAGTAGGAACTTAAGAAATATCTGACACTATTAAGAAAACCAACGTAAGAATAATGAGTATCACAGAAATGAAGAAAGCGGTTAATGTGAACAGACTCTGTTCAAGGAAGTAATTGAGGAAAATGTCCCACATCTGGAGAAGAAACTGAATATACCAGTCCATGAAGCTAAAAAGAACACTTGGTTACTAAATGCAACAGGACCTATTACTGGAACCCAGCTGCCTCAGCGGTGGAAGGTGGCAGGAGCAGTGGTGTTCTTTCAGCCTGCTGCTCCACCACAAGTCAGTTGTGGCAGTTGCTCCTCAGAGCTCAGTGATTGCCTTTTTGTCAGTCGTGACAGTTGCTACTCAGAGACCTTTTATATAACAGTATGCTGTTATATAACAGTATACTTTTATATAACAGTATACTTCCTGAATCATGGAATGGACCAATCAGACTTTTGTCACCAGGACCCAGCTCTCACAAGTCAGTTTTGGCAGTTGCTCCTCAGAGCCCTTTTACATAAAACACAGTTCCTGGGTTGTGGAATGGGCCAATCAGATGCTATGGGCTGATTAGTAAATGGTCCAACCACCCACCGGATTGAAAAATGGTCCAATCAGACTCATGGGTGGGGCACCCTGAAAAAGGGTCAGAGGGAGCTGAGCGGAGAGAGAAGATAGAGAGGACGCCAGCCCAGAGACAATGCCAGTCCAGGAGACAACGACGCCAGCCCCTGAAGAAAAGATGGTTCCAGCCTCCAAAGAAAGAAGAAAAGAAGCATCCAGCAGCTAACCTCCGCGAAGAGAAGAGAAGCCGAAGGACTCTGTCACAGACTGGGCCTTGGTCCTGTCTCTGACATTCCCTGGAAGGAAAACCAAAGGCCCTGGGCCTGGTGTCTCAAAGAGCTGTTAACACCAGGTGTCTCTGACACCACCTCTGCGGCACCAGTAGTGGCATCCCTACTGGCTGGTGCTGTCCAGCATTCCCTGTGACTGGTGACCATCACTGAGCTACCTGGGTGACACAGTCACCACTTGCGGATACAGTGAGCTCTTTATTTCCCCTGTTTGGAAAATAAATCCTAGGTTGTTGTTCCTGAAATCTAAGGTCTCTTGCAATTGTGTGCACAGGTAAGAACCCACAGACAGTGACCTGTCCTCTTATCGGGCACTGTCCTTTGTTAGGCTATAGCTCTTTGTTTTAGGTTTTTGGCGTTTAGGAGTTTTTTGGTGGCTCTCTGGTCTCAGAGCCTGGGCAGGTGGGTAGCGTCCCATCCTTCCATCTGGCCTCCTGCCTTGTTGCTCTTTTGTGTCCCTCTCCACCCCTGTTTCAGACCTACACTAAGACACATAGCAGTGAAACTGGCAAGAGTTCAAGACAAAGAAAAAATACTGGAGGTGGCTAGGTGAAAAAAGCAGCTATATATAATGGTATTCCCATCAGGCTTACATCAGACTACTCATAAAATATGCTTCAGGAAGA